CTCTCTGGGATGAGACATGGGAGATGAGATTCCGGCCACACTTTGCATTCCACATCAGTCAGCCGCATGACCAGTGCATCAGTAGATTTTGCTCATCACAAATAACGTCCTGCAGTGGTGTTTAAAAATGTTTAGGATAAAAGACTGTCCAGAGATTGAAGTTGCTTTTTTTAAATGTTGCCACTCTGCCCTCACCCCTCACCACAGCTTGATGGTGTCAGGGCGTCTCCGTTCCCTCAGAACCCCTGCTCACTAACTGTTCATCAGGAACTTCCCACTGAGACTAGTTACATAAGGGTTGCAAACTCTGTGTACTCTGAGAGTCGGACAAGGAATCAGGGAAACAGGGATTGGAAGAAACTGGATAAAATTGGAAAATAACTGCAACTACTTTTTCTAGAGTTAAAGACAAAAGGTATGATTTTCCTTAATAGGGAAGGCAGAGTAGTAAAATTGTGGAACACATTGGGATGGGAAGAGAGCCTTCTGATTAGATTTTGTAAGTATTCTTCAGGTCTGATGAGATTTTCAGTGAAAGCAACCTTTTTCTTGTCATTTTCATTGTTCACCTCTTTCCTGAGAAAGTTATATTTAATCCCACGGGCCAGCAATAGCCAAAATAAACAGTACTAGAGCTGTGCTTTTTAGTGTTTCTCTTGTCTTTTTTCCTCCACCTCTAGACTTAAAGTATAGATAGCATGGTAGCTATAAGTAAATAATGGACTTTAGAATTCTACAAACCTGAGTTCAAATCCTGGGTCTACCATTTACTAGTTATGTGGCCTAGCAAGTAATTTAATTATCTTTAAGGCTTTGTTTTCCTATCTTTAAAATGATCTTGTCAGTAATTCTTGTGTCATAGGTTTGTTCTGAGGATAAAATGAAATGGTGCCTGTATAGCACTTAGCACCATGCCTGGCACGTTTGAAGTGCACAACAAACGTTAGTAATGGTAATGGTTGGTGTTATTAATATTCTTTGTCGTAAGTCTTGTTTCTTTCAGACGTTGGGTCTGATGTGGTGGCTCACGCCTCTAATCCCAGTGCTTTGGGAGGCGGAGGCAGGATTGCTCGAGGCTAGGAGTTTAAGACCAGCCTGGGCAACATAGCAAGACCCTATCCCTATAAAAGATTAAAAAATAATTAGCTGGGCATGGTAGTAGTCCACGCTACTGGGGAGACTGAGTTGAGCGGATCCTTTGAGCCTGGGAGGTTGAGGCTGCAGTGACCTATGATTGTGCCGTTGCACTCCAGCTTGGGCAATAGAGTGAGACCCTCATCTCAAAAACAAAAACGAAAAAAGAAAACAAATTGGAGCTTATAGAATTTAGGTGAATTATCCCATCTGGGATCAAACAGAAAGGTCTTCAGAGTTTTTAGTGACCTCTCTGGTTTCTGCGTGTAACATCCCAGAACTTTTCACAGCAGGGTCAAGTACTTGGGCTGTAATAGAGTGTAAACAAAACAAAACAAAAAAAAGAAAAAACTTTATTTTAGACTTACAGAAAAATTGCAAAAATAGTACAGAGAGTTTCCATCTTTCACTCAGCTTCCCCTAATGTTAGCGTCTTTCACAGCCATAGTACAGTTGTTGGAACGAGGGAAGTAACGTTGGTAGGGTACTAGTAAACTGAAGACCTTATGCAGCTTTCACCAGTTTTTACATTCATGTCCTTTTCTATTCCAGGACCCTATCTAGGATCCCATTCAGGACCCCACATCGCATTTGGTGGTTGTCATTTTCCCTTAGTCTCCTGCAGCCTAAAACACTTCCTCAGTCTGTCTTGTCTTGTCTGTCTTGTCTTTCGTGACACTTTTGACACTTTTGAAGAGTAGTGATCAGTAATTTTGTCAAATGCCCCTCACTTTGGGTCTGCCTTATGATTCTTGTGATTGAACCACACTTTTGGCAAAAGAATATCACAAAACTGTTGTGTCCCGCTTAGTACATCATATCCATGCTTCATGATACAGATAGATATTGATGTCTTATTACTGGTGGTGTTGACCTTGGTCATTTGGTTAAGGTGGTTTCTGCCTGGCTTCTCTACTTCAAAATTACTATTTTTCCCTTTGTAGTTAATACATATCTTGGGGGGGACACTTTGGAATTGTAAAAATTCTGTTCCTCCTTGAACTTTCACCACCAGTGTTAGCGTTCATTGGTAGATCTTGTCTGCAACAATTACTACAGTGGTGTTTGTCTAGTGGTGATTTCCTAGTTTTCTCTTTCCTTCTACATTTATTAAGATTTCTTTTTCTTTGAGTTGGGGTCTTGCTGTGTTGCCTCAAACTCCTGAGCTTAGGTAATCCTCCCACCTCAGCCTCCCTGAGTAGCTGAGATTACAGGTGCACGCCACCATGCTCGGCATCCTTCTATATTTATTTATTGGAATTCAACTGCAAGGAAGAATGGCCCTTTCATTCCTACTTACTAACGTATTGGTTATTTGTATCAGCATGAACTTATTAGTGAATTTTGTTCTTTGGGCTACAATCCCATACTATCATTATTCATTTTGTTGTTCGAATGATTTCAGTTATAGCAAGCCATAATTTGTTTAGTCTGTTCTACTTGCTGTTTTCTTTTCTTTCAGTGTGATATTCGAAAAGAGATCCAAAAGGTCAGCAGGTTCCTGACTCCTGCACTTAAACAGAACTACATCTCTTAATTTAAAGGTCTGCAGAGGAGAACCCACCACTTCCATTGCCACCTTGATGTTGCTCAGAAATGTTTATTCCACTCCTTGTAGAGTCAAACAATTTTTGGGAGAGCATATCATGGCGTACTGTCATTTAAACATACCTGGGATGAACTTGGTACGAACCAGACCTCCTAGGCCTGCTTTTTGCGTGGCTCACTTCATTTTATACAGTCCTGTTGTGGGAAGCGCAGCCTTCAGTATCCTCACTAACAATCTCTAGTGAGTCTTAAAACTTATGCAGTCTCTTGAGTAAGAACTCTTGAATACTAATTCTGGTGTTACTTGTTTTCAGGTTTCTTGACTTTGCACCCAGCAGACCAAAGGATGATGGCAACGTGAGGTAGATGCAAGGCTAGTCACGCCTGTTTTGTGTGGAACCCCAGACAGGAAGTTGTGAGGGACTGTCACCAACATTTATCTACCAGTGGTTCTCAAGCTTTTTGTCGTTGTTGTTTAACTTTTGTCAACCTAAGCAGGACAAAATCCTACCATAGCCATTCCCACTTTATAGGGGAAAAAGAAATTGGGGATAACAAAGATTTGGAGAGGAATAAAAGAGGAGTCAATATGTGGTAACATGGCAGCAGTTATGTAAAAACAAAAGAGTTGGTAAGTAAAGCCAATATTCCTTAATACAAGAGCAGCAACTTACAGCCAACTCAGGATAAGCCTGATGATGTCCTTATCACTGACAGTCTTTCCTGGAAACTGGAAATTGCAACCGTTTGCATATATGAGGACACAGAAGGGGCTGTGCAACATTGCCAAAGGCCGAATGGTATCTGAGAAAAAACGAGTTATCTGGTAATTTTAGATTACAAATGCCAAAGTTTATAATGCGTAGTAGGCCATTAGTAAGTACCACTCAAGGATGAGTAAAAATGGAAGTCAATAGCACTGCTTTGAAGATGGTCTTTTTTTACGTGAGTTTGTAGGCTGTCTCAGGACCCTTTTGGTTTATGGCTTTAGATGGCTCAATCTAACAGATGAAAGCTTGAAAGGGGAGAGGAACAGGGGCAGCTGAAACATAAGAATAATTTCCAAGAAGCTTGTGGGAGGCTCTCCAGGTGTTCCCAGCAGTGTTTCCTGCCCCTGCCCCATGCCCTTAAGTCAGATGAGGGATGCAGGAAATGGAAACTACCTTAGACCCTTCGATTCATCTTTCTTTCCACACCTCTCTGTCATCTCAAGATGTCTGTGTCACCTCACTCACCCATTGCCCCATTCCCTCCCTAACTCACTCTCTCACAGTCTGGCCAGAGCCCAGCTTAGCTCAGGGGTTCCCAGTCCTGTCTCCCTCAGGAAGACTTCCCTGCTCACTGCTGCCATTTACAGTGAGTCACCATCTCCTGACATCTCAAGCTGGACAGTCGCCTGTGTAGGACTCAGACCCCACACTCCCCGGTGTCAAGGTCTAAGCAGGTTTCCTGCATGCACTGTGCTTTGGCACGTGGCTGAGGTGGGACTCTGCCCTGTCCTAGACTCCAGGCTGAAGGAACTGCTCTCACAGCCGCCTCTGTGGGCTGTTCCTGCAGAAAAACGAAGCTCCCTGGTGACCTGTGCCTCGTGCTCACTGCCAGCTCCTTCACTGATGACAACTTTAGGGCTTTGCTTTATTTTAAACTTTGGCACTTCCTTTTCTCGATTGATTTAAAAAATATTTTAAAATTATAGCATATTATTTAAAAATCCAAACAATATTGATAAAGTGGGGGAAAAAACTCCCTTACTGCCATCTCCTGATGTCAGTTCCACTCTACAAAAGTAACTACTATTAACCATTTAGTGAAAATTTTTTCAGACTTCTGTGTGTATAAATGTCTGTGTATGTTTGGGAAGTTTTTCTGACATCTCCGAGTTCTGTATCTATGTGTCTTTGTTCTAAATCATCGTCCATTCCACATGGCAAGCTGCAAAACGGTAAGATAAATGTATTTTTAAATTAATCTACACAGCACCTGACCAAAGGAACACCTATTCTTGATGGATTCAAGTGCTTTGTAGGAGCACTTGTGTTGGAGACAGGGGTGGGAGGCAGGATCCCTCCAGAGAGACCCCGAGCTCACCAGGTGGGAAGTGCACATGAGCTCCAGGGAAGAGACCATGCTTCATAAGCTCACCAGCAACTGGCCCGACCTGCCAGGGTGTGCACACTCCCCAGACTGCGGAATCACTCGTGTGCGGGTTGCCCGGTGGCCGAGGGAGGGGAGGGGAGAAAAGTGGAGGGGGAGGCACAAGGGTGGAATGTGGGCTGGGCCAAGTTTAGAATTACGAGTGCCACAGAGGCTCCTGGAACCACACTTTAAATAGCCGGCACCTTCCCCTTCCCCCTTAGATAATTCTTCTCCCCGACTGGACCTCTGGCGGCAACTTCAGTAAGGTTCGAAATGTTTTCTCTTTTTTTTTTCTGTTTCTGGGTCTGAGTCTGCAGGTTGGTGGGATCCATGGGACTTACAACCAAAGGACTTTTTTCTCACCCTCTCCTAGAAAATATGCTTCTGACATTTATGTGTGCAAATGCCTAGATTATATGCTACTTTCTTGACTTTCTGCGACTTGGGTGGCTGTTGACTTAAGTGACAATGTGATTTGGAAAGAGAGAGCCCTAGATTGAGAGGAAAGACAATTGGATTTAGCTCCAAGAAAAATCGGATTTAACTCTGAGAAAAGAGAACAATGATCAACTCTTTGACAGGACTGAAAGAAGACAAAAATTTGAGTACCTGTTATTCTATTAAGTGTGTATATATATGTATATTTCCTCATTTAATTCTTATAGCTAAGTATATCCTATCAATCATCCCCACTTTTACAGATGAACAAACTAAGACTCAGAGTCATTCATTAACTTCTCTGAAGTCAGACATTGGTATGAGAAAAAACTAATGTTTGAACCTGGTCTCATCTGACTCTACAGCTCATGGCCTGTCAGACACAACACGCTGCGTCTGAGAAGCAGCTCTAATGGGGCTAAGGGAGCCAGGAAAGGGCTACTGTTTCCCCCAGAGTCTGGGAGGTGGAGAAGGGAAGGTTTTCCATCACCGGGAGGGATCCATCCGCTGGTAAAGGGAGGGGAGGCCTCCAGCAAAGTCGGTACCTTGACAACCTTCCCAAAAGGACTGGGGAGCCCTCTTGGGACCAGTTACTCGGGTTTCTCTTTTGTAGAAAGGAGCTCATTCCCTAATTTATCAAACAAAAATAGATACCTGCTGTTCCCTGACTTTCTTTTTTCTTTTCTTTCTTTCTTTCTTTTTTTTTTTCCGAGACGGAGTCTCGCTTTGTTGCCCAGGCTGGAATGCAGTGGCGCGATCCCAGCTCACTGCACCTGGTTTCATCCGCCTCCTGGTTTCAAGCGATTCTCCTGCCTCAGCCTCCTGAGTAGCTTGGGTTACAGGTATGTGCCACCACGCCCGGCTAATTTTTGTGCTTTTAGTAGAGACAGGGTTTCACCATGTTGGCCAGGCTGGTCTCAAACTCGTGACCTCAGGTGATCCACCCGCCTCGGCCTCCCAAGTGCTGGGATTACAGGCGTGAGCCATCGTGCCTGGCCTGTTCCCTGACTTTCTGACTTCCTGGGTCAGAGCCAAAGGAGAGTCTGTGGCCAGAAGAGGTTACTGCTGAGAAAGTTCTGTTAACATGAACTTTGCCTGAGGGTTAGAAAAAAGTCCGTCTGCCTACTTCTCCAGAAAAGAGGCCACTCTGCAAAATCAAGGCAGAGTCATTAGAAGATGCTTTTAGTAGACATGCCAGTGAACCCAGGCAGCCGTTGTAATCAAAGGGCTGGGACTGAAAGAGCAGGGGCAGGTGGGTTGAAGTCCTGGCTGTGCAGTTTACTAGCTGCATGGCAGCAGCAGTCACATTATTGAACCTCTCTGAGCGGCAACTTCCTTATTTATAAAGTGGAGGTAGTAATGCTTACCTCTCAGGGTTGCTGTGAGAACTAAATGAAATGAAGGCAGGTGAAGTGCCTAGTCTGTAGTAGTTGCTGACTAAATGGGAGCCACACCCAGTCATCCTCAATCCCAATAGTCTGGAATGGGCCACTTCTGACAGTGAATGGTTAAAACTGTGGCTTTTTAGTTTATGTCATCTTCTCTACTGTCACAGACGCCACTTGTCTTCACCAGAAAAGAAAAAGCACATCGCTCATCTCTCCCTTCTGCTGATTTCAGAGGGACATAGGAGGAGTACTTAGTCCACCTCATCTTACTCCCAATTCCTGGTCCCCTCAACTCTCCCAGTCCTTTGACAGGATTTTTTTTTAAAACTGGCTTTTATTTTTATATTACAAAAGTAAAATATTTTTTGATGTAAATGTAGAAAATATAGATAAGGAAATGTTCCTATAACCCAGCTGCTGAAGGAAAAACATTTTGGTGGCTATCCTAATCTTTCAATGCCTATAAATACTTTCTAAGATATTTGTCAAGCATGATCATATTCTGTGTACCGGTTTTTACTATATATTGTGAGCATCCTTTTGTGCCGATATACTTGTTTCTGTAACACAGGTTTTAATGATTATATATAGTAGTCCATTATATGAATGTGCCATAATTTATCAATATATCTACCATTTTTGACAATTTATGTACTTTCCGATTTTTCGCTGTTATAAACAATAAATATCCTAATGCTACACCTTTCACTCACAATCACAATTATTTCCTCAGGGTAAATTCCTGCAAGGGCAATTGGTGGCTTTGAGGACATGTGAAATCCCATCCTTTCCACGTGTCCCAGCATAGAGAGTAAAGAGACGGAAGCACGTGCTAATCCCGGTGAGGCTGACTGTAGGGCGGCAGGGAGAATTTAGACAGCACAGCGGCCCGTGAACTCCTCCATGTCTACAAGCCTCAACCCAAGAGGGCCTTGTAGTGGAAGCAAAGGCCGTCCTTCAGCACCAGCACTTTCCTCCTGAAACAGGAAAGGGGTATATACGCTCAGTAGCTGTCACCCAGCTTCCACCACTGAGAAGTGCTAAGGAGGACACGGTCTGCAGGGAAGGGCATAGCATTCGCCTCTTCCAGGGCATTCATCCCCTTATGGATTTGTTGGAAAAGGAGGAGGAGGAGGGGTTTCCTTCTGGGGTTCCCAACAGTAACAGGGCATCCCACTTGTTTTCCAGGTGGGATGGATAGCAGGGCCTCAGGCACAGCCAGTAATGGAGAGACAAAGCCAGTGTATCCAGACATGGAAAAGAAGGAGGAAGATGGCACCCTGGAGCGAGGGCACTGGAACAACAAGATGGAGTTTGTGCTGTCAGTGGCCGGGGAGATCATTGGGCTGGGCAACGTCTGGAGGTTTCCCTATCTCTGCTACAAAAATGGGGGAGGTGAGAGCCCTTGTGCCGCCCCACCCACCCCTGGAAGGACGATGCTTCCATCTCCTGCGCTTACGGCCCCTCTGGGGAGTCCCATAGATGCATAGGATTCTGGAGTTGGAAGGACGCTTAGAGGTCATCCAGGACTCTCTGTAAGAAACTAAGACCTAGAAAGATGCGTGACTATCCCGTGACTATCCCAGGGCTCTTTCTATTGTAATGTGGCATCGTAGAAATGTGAGCACAAGCTGGAACCAGGTGGAGGAGAGTTTGGATCCTGGCCCCGCTGCTCACCCTCTGTGTGATCTTGGACAAGTTACTTAAGCTCTCAGAGCATCAGTTACCGCTCCTGCAAATCGAGATAATAATGCCTGCCTTTCAAGGTCGTCGTAAGGATTAGAGATAATGTGTGTAAAGAACTTAATAAATAGTAGCTTTGTTGATGATGATGGCAATACCAAACTGTTCTGTGGTCTTGAGATTCCCCAGCCTTGGCCTGGTGTCTTTTTCCGACTCTGCTGGCAGGGGGAGGTTCCCTAAGCCATCCCTTACCCAACCCCTTCTAGTATAGGCTCTGTTTTTTAAAATTTCCCAGTACAAATGTGTGCATGTTGTAGGGAGAGCATTACCTCCAGCTCTTCACTGTGTCATCACTGGCTTCTCATTCACCTCTCTTCCAGCCGCCTGGGGTAATTCTGCTATCCCCGCAGCAGTGACAGAAATTTTGCAACCACTAACCCACATTCAGGGAATTTTGTATTTCTGTGGGAAGCCCCAGAGGGATTTTCCCAAGTACTGGAGCGTTCTGGGTGACTAGTGGGCTAGGAATAGCTCCTTGCTTATGGGTAAAGCTGATAGGGCTGGGGTTCCCAGGTCTGATTTGGTAGTGAGACTGCAGCCAGGCCTGGAGGAACGTGGAATACAGAGGTAGGCCATCAGGGAAAATGATGAGAGGAGTGGCAAGTTCATGGGCCACAGGATTTGAGGTTCTTTAAAGCAATACCTACCCTTTTGCAGGTGAGTAAGAGCTGCCAACGGCATCCAGCTTGAGTCTCACAAGGATTTTAGAGAAAGAAAGCCTTCAATACAGAGTGGGGGTGTGGGAACTGGAGGAGAACACGAGAGATGCTCTGGGCCCATGGAGTCTGGTTCCCAGGTCTGCGGCAACTGGGGGTTGTCCCTGGGTTGGAGGTTAACTTGTGTTTCCAGAGGGATGAAAATGGACTGGTGTGTCCCTTCTTCCTGGGAATTTCTGGCCAGTGGCCTGAAATCCCAGGAATTTGCTCAGTTTGCACTGTGAGGGAAGAGGGAAGGTCTACCCACTTTTTACCTGGTGCTGAGTGCTCCACGTGCTTGTTCAGGAATTTAGGCCTGAGTACCCTCCCTCTGGAGAATCAGGGGAGACGGAGCTGGCCCAGGGCGAAAGCTGGAGGCTTGGGGACTAAGCTGGCGTTGGGACTCTGGGTCTGGAACCTGGTAACCAGCTCAGCTCCTCACATGGCAGAGATTAGGAGGTGAGCAGCTTTCCGCAAGCCTCTCTGGAATTGGGTAAAGGTTGGCCTGGGAATTAGCAGGAATGGCACGAAGAGGTAGGAGAGATTGCCTTCCAGGTCTAGTGCAAACCACTGGGCTGACAGGGGCAAGTGGAGGGGAGCAGTGACAGGAACGCGGGGGATGAGGGACTCTCCCTGGTCCTTTGTCTGGCAATGTTTGGGTCCCAGGGCTCTGTGGTGAGTCTGTGTGGGCCTGGGAATGTGTTGACTGTGTCTTGTGTGGGAACAGAGGCCTGAGGGGAAAAGAGCACCCACAGCCCTTGGTTGGTCACGTGGCTCCTGTGTGGGGAGGTGGAGGCAGCAGAGCGGCAGCTGTGGTCTCCTCCTCCCTGGATAGAGCCTGCCTTCCAGCACGCTGATTCCCTGGAGAGTCCTGACGTGTGTGGGAATCCTGCCATCCAGTAGAGTTCTCTGTTTAACCCTTATACTGCCTACCCATAACTTCTTCCCTTACCAAGCGCGGGGCCTGAGCACTCCTCTTCCCCGTTCGCTGGTGGATGGCTTCAGCTGGAGGGGCGTGTTCTGAGGGACTGGGGAGCTGCAGGCAGGGCCCAGGTTTGCTCTGGAGGGCATGAGTCACCCAGGGCCGCGGGCTGGGTTAGTGAAATGGCTCCTTTACCATGGTAAGCGGGCTGATCAAGGATGTGTGTGGTCAGTAGAGGAACCTGGACCGGCCTATTTTTCTGTTGTTTTGGTGTTCTCAGCAGTTTAACCTTTCTGTCATCAGTTAACTCCTCTCGCCTCCCAGGCAAAGCAAACTCCTACAGAGAACGGGCCCTTAAGCCTCATCTCGTCATCTCCCTGTCCCTTTGCCGAAGAAGAGACTGCTGCCCCTTCCCGAAAGGACCCTTTGCTGCTGCTGTGGGCAGGAGGCTGGGAGGTGGAGACCCTTAGATTGGTTTGACCCCTTTCCTCCTGGTTTAGTGCTTTTATCGGAACTCACCATTCTCAGATTGGGGCCTGGGCTCCTGGGCAAGGGAAGAGTGTTCTGAGCAAGCCCTGGAGAGGATGCTGGGGTACTCCCGGGTGTGCCATCCTCCCGTAATGCACCCTATCAGCCTGCTTCTGGGCCCTTTCCTGAAATTCACAGCTCCAAGTAGCCACTCTTGTGCTTGGCGGGGAGGGGAGGGCAATCAAGGAGTTTGATTCGTTGTAGTATTTGTTTAGTGAGAAGCTTAGGGATGAAGACGTCCTCAAAGCACAATTTTACTTCCAAACTAAAAATATAAGTGACATCTTTGGTTTCTTCCAGCGTCAACATTTGGTAGATCTAATTTGAAATGAGTTCCAGAGCAGGGAAAGGGCTGAGGCAAGGCTATGATAGAACACAAGGCAAACAGCTGAAAACTGTAGTCAAAAGGCAGGCAAGCTGAGAAGGTGATACAAAGAAGCCCATCAGAAGTCAGAAGCAACAGGGAGGCTTTTAGGGAGGCGAGTGAGAGGGATGCCCACCTCCACCGTCTCCTAGGTAAATAATCTCCCTGCTGTCCAGGACCTGTGGCTGATCCACCCCCAAGCACCTGCTTCATCCTAATGGCTTTAGAATTTCCAGGCTCTGTCCGTTGCCTTGGCGCACACCCAGCCAAGCCCTGAGCCTGACTGTGTCATTCACCAGCAAGTACTTACTGAGCACGTAGCATAAGCCAGGAATCGTTCTAGGTGGTTGGGATACATCTAGAAACAAAACGGACCAATTCCCTGTCCTCATAGGGCACACATTCTAGAGGAGGGAGACAGACAATGTACAATAAACGGGATAAACGTGTAAATTAGATAGCATTCCCGAATGAATGAGTGCTATAGGAAAAGAACGAGGGGAGCTGGGTAAAGGGGATCAGGAGTGTGGGTGTGGGTGGTGGCAATTTTTTTTTTTTTTTTTTTTGAGACGGAGTCTGGCTCTGTCATCATTGAGAGCATTTGAGCAAAGTCTTGCCAGGAGTGACAGAATTGGCCTTGTGGATATTATGGGGTGGGGTGAAAGTGCTTTGCTCCAGGCACAGGAAACAAAGGTTGAAACAAAGCAAGAGCCTGGCTGGCTTGTTTGAGGGGGACTTGAGCCTGGAGCTGGGCAAGTGAATAGAAGGTCAGGTCAGGGAAGAAAATGGGCTGGGACAGGGAGGCGGGCAGATGAGGTATGCCAGGTTGGCCACTCTCAAACTTCAGCTTTTGCTCTAGTGACATTCAGATGCAGGCAGGGTTTTGAGCAGCAGTAATCTTACATTATTTCCCCCCCACTCCTCGAGATGGAGTCTCGCTCTGTCACCCAGGCTGGAGTGCAGTGGTGTGATCTCAGCACACTCAGCCCACCTCCTGGGTTCAAGTGATTCTCCTGCCTCAGCCTCCCCAGGAGCTGGGACTACAGGTGTGCACCACCATGCCTGGCCAATTTTTGTATTTTTAGTAGAGACGAGGTTTCTCCACGTTGGCCAGGCTGGTCTCAAACTCCTGACTTCAGATGATCCGCCCACCTTGGCCTCCAAAGTGCTGGGATTACCGACATGAGCCACTGTGCCTGGCCAGTCATCTTACATTTTAAAATAATCTCTAGCTGCTATGTTGAGAACTGAGTATAGGGGAGTGAGGGCAGAAGCTGACCAGTTAGTTATGAGGCAAAAATCTTGGAGTCATCCTTAATTCTCTCCACCTCTCATAACTGTTGACTGTACCCAAACACACGGGTCCTGGGAGCTTCAGGGCCTCTCCAGCTCCCTGGACCCTGGTTGCTGGCAGAGTGAGTAACTCAACATCCAGAATGCCTGGGACTGGATCCCCCCACCCATGAGATGTGCAGGACCCGACCACGTCTCATCCCCTCCACTGCTAGCACCCATCTAAGCAATCCAAGAGTTTTCACCTGAGTGACTGGAAGGAAGGAGCTGCCGTTCACTGAGATGTGGAAGGCATGAAGGGAGCAAGGTTTTGTTGTGGGTTTTTTTGTTTTGTTTTTTGTTTGTTTGTTTGTTTGTTTTTTAATAGAAATGGGGTTTTGCCATGTTGGCCAGGCTGGTCTCAAACTCCTGGCCTCAAGTGATCCGCCTACCTCAGCCTCCCAAAGTGCAGGGATTACAGGCATGAGCCACTGTGCCTAGCCCCAGAGGAGCAGGTTTTGAAGGGAAAGTAAGGGGGTGAATTTTGGGAAAGTTGAGTTGAGGTATCTATCGGATGTGCAAGTGGAAATGGCAACTGGGCAATAGAATGTGAGTTTGGAGTTGGTGAGAGAGATCTGGCTGGAGGTGTGTATTTGGGGACCGTTAGCATTTTGGTGGTATAAGAAAAGAAAGTAAGGACTTTAGTGGGTCTGGGAGAAGATGAGAAACCAGCAGAGGAGACAGAAAATGAGAAACTGGTAAAGCAGGATGAAAACCAAGAGAATGAAGTGTTTTGGAAAGCCAAGTGAAGGAATCCCATCAGGGAGGAGGGAGAGATTAACTGCAGCAAAGGCTGCGGATAGGTTTAAAA